AGGGGCAGCCGGGGGCTTTGGCTCTTGCCGGCTGCCGTGTGGAAACACCAGCCAACTCCGAGCCGTGCTGGGAGGATCGCTGGACTGGGAAAACAGAGCTGGAGACATCCATTTTCTTAGTCATCCTCCCCCGAGGAGAGGGTCACCCGGGGTTTTCAGTTCCTCCCACGCTCCTGCTCACAGAGATTTATCTTTTTACTGTAGCAGGGAGAAATGTCACAGCGACAGCTGATTGCTTTAGGTGTTTTAATATCCGTCTTTACTGGCCTTCTCCAGCCTCTCTGTGTACATCCATTACGTTGTCAATAAGGATAACCGGGACAAATAAAGCCGCTCTCCTTCCTCCGGCTCAGCTCCGTGGTTTAGGGAGACCCAGCGACTATTTATTCAGGCACGCTGGCTCCAAGCTGTCTACCACCCCAAACCGAGAGCTCCCGTTTTCCCCTCGGGCTCAGCACCGCCCGGTGGCTTTAATAGCATCTTTGGTTTACTAGTCTGACCTGTGACTTCAAGGTCACAAAAGAAGTATTCAGGTCCTTCAATTCTCCTTGTCTTTCTTTTTGCTCTTTCTCTGGCTGGTCAGCTCGCTGAGCTTCTTGTCTAGGCGCCGCTGGAGATGGGCTCTCTTGGCTGGGTCCAGGGACTTGTCTTTGGAGCCGCTCCCGGGATAGAGAACCCCTTCCCTGCTGATCCTCTGCCGCGCGTGGCCCTTGGCCTTCTCCCCGCAGCCATGAACCTGGTGGAGAGAGAACGGACAGCGGTGGCAGCCGGGGAACAGGGCAGCGACCGCCCACCTGCGAACCGGGCGATTGTATTCCCAGAACCTGGAATTCCTCTTCCACCTGATTTGCACCTCCCCTAAAACCATCTCCCGTTTATTTATAGCTCTGCTAACAGGAAACGAAATGTAAAAGTATTTTTTCTCCTGGAATCTACGTGGCAGGTAAATCACCCTTTTGGATGGTTTAAGTGCCTCCTTCCAAAACCTTAAACATCTGGGGGAAACTCGCACTCCTCGTGAACAGCTGGATCTTTCACGGTTCTCGCATGAGAGCTAGAAACAAAACTCGGCTCCCGACTCTGTTCTCCGCTAATCCGGTATGACTTAGGGGAGAAAACGAGTGAGACAAGAAAGGTGACTGGGGAAATAAGAGGAGACCATTTTAGCCATATATCTGCTTCCTTAGTGTAATTAGATCTGTCTTCTGGATTGGAATAAAAAAAGCGTCATAATGCTAATTCTGTGCGGGCGAACCTTTCCCAAACCCATGTGCGCTGAAGCCCAGGCTGCGTTTAAGGTGCATTAAGCCAAGTTCGGCACCGCCCTGAATCATCTCCACCGCGTCTAAACTAAAGACCCTGAAAGTTCACCCCTTCTGCTTGGTCCGTCCCAAAGCCACTTGGTGTTTTCAGGAACCATAAGCAGATCTGAGGATGCCAGCCCGGTCAGTGCCGTGACAAACCTTCCTGTCCCCATCAGCGCTGCTGGAGCAGGTTGCCAACGGCCAGGAATAGCCACACGCAGCACCTGGCACGCGGCTCCGAGCCAGGACTGGGCTTTCGGAGCCTGCTGCCCGCTCTACGCCAGCCGTAGCGAACAGACCCTCCCGG